AAGGAAATTTCTTTATTAAAGCTTTACTAATTACTAATTACTAAAATTACTAAATTTCAATTAATTCTGCACTAATTGCTAAATTCTATCGATTGTAAAATATTCTCTCAAAAAAAAGGCGAATTTCGTTTCTTTCAAAAGGTAAGATAAAATGATATCATTTTGCATACTTTAAAATCTTGAATAATAACTTTGCAACGTAAATTTCATTTTTATTTTAGATTACTATTACCTCTTTATATTTCATCTTTCTCTCTGAAAATTATAGATGACACTACCAATACATCAAATAAGCCCAATACACTACATAAGCCCAATTCATTACATAAGCCCAATACATTACATAAGCCCAATACATTACAAAAGCCCAATACATTACATAAGCCCAATACATTACATAAGCCTAATACATTACATAAGCCCAATACATTACATAAGCCTAATACATTACATAAGCCCAATACAATTACATAAGCCCAATACATTACATAAGCCTAATACATTACATAAGCCCAATACACTGATAAACCCACTGCATTACATAAGCCCAATACAATTACATAACCCCAATACATTAATAAGGTTTTATAATGTTTTACGGTTATTTTTTTACGGTTATGATGATATTGATTGATAGCGGTGATAATGATTGTTGATAATGGTGTTGATGACAGTGGTGATGGTTGATTAATGATGATAATGAATAATGATGATGATGATGATGATGAATGATGATGATAATGATGGTGATATTGATGACGATGACGGCAATGTTAGTGATGTAATAATTCAGATGGTCGATTGAAATAGCCAAAAATTATTCTTTGAGAACCAGAAACGTGTATGATCGGGCTTATTATGAAAGTAGATTTTCATACATTCATTTTAAAATTATACTTCCTATTATTACAATGATCTAATCGTTCTCTCGATCCTATCAAATGTTACGTTATTTCATAGTTATTTTATACTACAAGATTTATATAACAGCTGCAGAATTTTATAACAATGCTTCATATCTGCCTTGATATTATCATCAGAAATTTCCTCAATTATTTATAAATTTGCATATTATCAAAAGTTTATTTTATTTACGATTCTGCCAATATTCATCTTATTTTAGCTAAATGATAAAACATTCGATTATTTTAGCGTCAGTAAATAATAGTGATAGATATAATATTTTGTATACATTAAAATTAATTTATGTGATATTTTTGGTGTAGAAAATTTCATCCTAATTATACATTCCAGGTGAACTAATCCTATTCGTTTATAAGGTTTAAATGTCAGATAAATTATTCACTTAAATCCATCTTTTCATGAAGTGCTGCAAATAGCCCAAAACTTAATCGGTAATTTTTGTGTTCCATCAAATTTCGTTATCATATAGCCTTTATAATTTACACTTCAAGGCATTATTTAACATTCCATTGCACTTTATACCACACCGGTTTGCATTCCATTCACATTCTGTCATACTTGAATATCAAATCTGTGGCAAATGTTAATAAACAATCAATGCTGATATGATAAACAGGTTGATGAATATGATTGATTTTTTATTTGAAAATGATTATACTATTTTTCCTATGATAAGAGAAAAATGGGTCAATAGTTGTTATCATATCATTTAAATGATAATATTGAATATATTCATGCAATGATAAAATTTATTTTTGAAGTATTTCTGTTTGCATAATATTCTGAAAATAATTCAAAAGAATTGATCTGAGTTTCCTTTCTAAAATTATTAGCATCGGGAGATATATTGTAGTAGTGGTAGTAACAGTGTTGTGCTGGTTTATTTATTTCAACTGTAATTAATTATCTATTCGGTTTTAAATAGACTGAAGCTATCATCAGGAAATGTAATTGCATCGTATCCGTTTGCAATTTCCACACAAATTTTATATAACCGAAGTATCAAACATAATGGATAATACTTAATGCAACACTCTCTCAGCAATAGCTTTATTTTTTGACGAATCACAACAAATCAAAGTCTTATATTTTATACTCTCAGTTTCATATTTTATTAATTGATATGACGTTTTCAAATGGTAACAAATAATAAATGATTAACGAGGAGCTAGAAAATAGTGTGCTGCTTATTGAAACTGCAAATTTTTATCCTCTACTTATGTTATGACTTAATTAAGTTGCATAACGAAATTACAATTAACTATTTGATTTATGCAACCATAAGTTTTTGAATATGCAGATTTAATTTGACTTTGATTATTTTATCAAATTGATTAGTTCGAATAATATGGATAGAATTTGAATAAATATCAATTCATTACGAAAAATAAACACTTTTATATTCGTATAAAGTACACATTTATTATACTATTATTGAACATATAATGAAAGCATTGACCTTTGCCCTTTAGAAAATTATGTACATTTTTTTGTTTTAAAATAAAGGCCGTTATTTGCCCATGTTCTAATTATTTATTATTGGATTAATGAATGAATTACGAATTTCTGCATTGTTGAAATTAATTTTTTTTTGAATTTTCAGTTAAATATTCGATTCTTCAACAATTAATTAGTGCTAATATTGTTTTCAGTTAATTAAATTTTCAGTGATGAAAAATTTTCAGTCCATCTATATTTCAATACTATTATCACTCCATCTTATCAGTATAGCTATTGCATTTCATTTAATACAGGGAAACCTTAATTTGCATTATACATTCGGAAGATAACAGCTATCAGATATGATAAACATAAATAGAGGTTTAGTAAATTATACTGTAACAAATAAATGCGACATTTTATATTCCAATGAATGATGAAGTGATAATGGCTGAATATTAGCCATTTATATAACCATAATTATCATTATCGTTGTCATTAATGTAATAGGTAATAATACATTCTGAAAAAGACATTTCACTAAACACATTGAAATAAACCTTTCTTCGTCATTGCAGAAAGATTTGTAATTGTTTAATGACTGTTCCATTCTTGTTAAGTTTATTATACTGACAAATGATATTATCAGTCTATTGAATGGTTTCTTATCAGAAAGATACATACAGTAGTGATTTCATGAAAATTTCAACTTTATTCTTTGAAATTATTAAAGGTTCTATTATTGGGTTATTTGTTAATTCAGTTCAGTTACAATTTACAGTTTCGGCAATGAATATCACTGCAAATGATCATGACGATAGTGGAAAATTAAAGGAGGATAATCAGCAATTTCTTATAATTACATGTACTATCTATATATTTGAAGGATTTCTCCTTATTATTAGCAATGGTTTGATTGAAATGGCACTAATTAAACATCGATATCTCAGACACCAATATCTCATTTTATTTGCACAGGTAATTAATTAAAATCAAATCATTTGATCCAACTGCTTACTTTTAATCAGCTTTTTTCATCCAGGCCTTTACTGATACATTGTTGGGATCTGCGATTTCTCTATCCGCAATCCACCGTCTTATTATGATGAAATTTGGATATAACCGAAAAACCAGACGACACTGCTCGTTAATACCATGGTTTATCTTATTTATATGGTAATTTCTTGTATTTTGTTTTTCTTTTACTTATTTTTTTTTATTTCATTTGCAGTTTTCCATCAGTTCCTCTATTACCTATTTGCTATTACAATGCTAATTAAATTTGTAAGTAACAGAAATGACTTAGGACGGAGTTGGCATCAGCTACAGCAACACTCATGGTGAGTACGGATCGCATCATTTTGTTTATATCACCCGTGCGATATTATAAGAAAGATTATTTATATCAAATTACGCAGGTTGGTCTTATTTTTAACGCAGAGCACTAAAAAATTCGAATTTTGAAGTGAAAAATAGATTCTAGAATTTCAGATGGAAAATATTCTTTTTCAGATCATTGTCTTTTTCGCATCAGTATCGCTGTTTGTCGCTATTGCCTGGTTCATTTCCTTCAGCGATAATGAAACCATGTTGTATGGTTTCTGTTGGTAGGTGAACTCATTAGTTCGTCACAAATAATGCTGTAAACCGAATCGTCGAACACCTTATGAAAGAAGCCTTTTCAGGACAGGTGATATTCTGCACCCGTTTTTTGCTGATTTGCATTACTTGTTGATGACTGCTACCGCAACTTTGAGTGTCATCCTCTACGTGGTTGTATATTTCCTGAGCAGGAAACATCTTCACCGTATAAAGAGCAATCGATCGGTATATTTATATTTGCCGTTTTTTCTATTTGATCCAATCGTTCATTTCCTCGTCCAGTTGGGACTGAGTCTCTCCCATTTCAAAATTTAGTCAACATACCTGACGACGGTAATTGCTAAGTGAAACAACTCACCAGATCCAGAAGATCGAAATATTAATGTCGATAATATTAATGTTGATAATCCAGTAGATTAAGCGGAATCAGCAACCGATACAGTCAGACCGATTATTCCCAGAAATCTAAGGAATAAGAGTTTTGAATGGTCTGAATGCTCCAATACTGTAAATTTCAGGAAGTATCATTACAACTATTTGAAGTACGCCAACGTAAACTTACCATTACAATGGGTGTTTCCTGCGTGTTTACATTGATCTTCTACGTTCTACCATTGTGTTCGAAATTGTTGATGGGCGGTGATGACGACGATCCAACAGCCCGCTATTCCGAATTTGTCCGTGTAGTAGTAGCAATCAGCTGTAATGTGAATCCTTTAATAAATGTAGCTGCAATCATTATAAAGCAAGATGACATTGCATACCGCGTAAAAGAATTATTACCGGAATGCATTCATAAAAACATTTGTCATCGTGAAACGGTTACTCCTATCACGACTGCAAGTATTCCAGCCACTGATCCAAGAAGGAACTGGCTATTGATCATGCTAAAAGTATGAATCACGGAAAGCACAAATATGGAAAGTAATAACTCATTTGTAGTTCCTATATTACAAAGTCTTCATGCTTATTATGCTACTTGAAGATAAGACTCATTACGTTGAAGTGAAATATTCTTTTGATAAAAATTTTGAAATATTTTGCTTTGTCATTGCTCGACCGATTAATACTATATTGTTCTAAGCAAAGAAATCTTACTCTCCTTTTGCTTGTTTGAGGACTGTAAAAAATAAACCGATAATTTTCACTGAAGTATATCATACAGAATAGTCAGAAGGCATTTTGTATACTTACGTAGATCACTACGTAAGAGTAAGTCTTATTGTCAGTTAGCAAATATAAGGCAGTCATTGCCAAGAATAAAAAAGCTCTTCTGAAGTCCGCAATGATGGCTGAAATGTGGAAGTGATAGTGTTGATTTCTTTAATTTAATACATTAAATATTTAAAGTAACTTCAGTTAAATTTCATGTTAAAAAGATAAGCTTTTGCAACGTTTTCATTCTTATCAATTCTTCAGTGTTGTAATAGTGATAATGTATATTAACTAGAATTTTTTGTTTCAAACCATATAAGTTTAATG